CTCTTTCCTTTCATTATGTCAGACTTGCAATGAAGTTAGAATGAGCAGGAGTGTGCAGCTTTCCAGTGCCTGGAAAAACTGTCACTTACAGATCAGTGTGTCAAGCAGGAAGGTTAGTCAGGATACTATGTTTCAAACTGCCTAAGCCATAGGCAAACTTTAATTTATTTTTGTCTTTTGGCAATTCTTGGAGCGTGGTTTTGCTGAATTTCACAAATGAATGCATGATCTTCTGGAGAGTGCTTTTCTGTGGTCCTGCTGGCGGCATGACCTTTGCTGGCCTTGCTTTCTAGCGGCAGAGGGGCATGAGCCCCAGACCCCCTGCTCTCCTCAGTGGAGCTGAGTGGGCTGGGGCCTGGGAGCTGGGGCTGACCCTCCCTGTCTGCTGTCCCCTCCAGAGCATGGCGGTGGTCTCGGCGATGTCCTGGGCCCTGTACCTGTGGATAAGTGCCTGTGCCATGCTGCTCTGCCACGGAGCCCTCCAGCACACCTTCCAGCAGCCCCACCTGCACAGACCAGGTAAGCTGCTGGCTCGCTGCAGCCCCCAGGCTCACTGCTGTCTCCTTAACAGATGGTGAAGGCAAGCGACTTCAGTGCTGTGGTCTGGGCAGCTTGCCTCTGAATTCCAAGACATATTGTTGGCTAGAGGCCTTGGGAAAAGGGGGTCACCAAAATGGCTTGGCGGTATTTCTATTAACTTCTCAAAAATGGGGTTGTCTCTAAGAGCCCACCACACACACACACACACACACTGAAAAGTCCTTTGTTTTGTGTACTTTGGCCAAAAATAGAAGAGGTGGGATAATTTTCAAGACTTGGAGATTGTTTTTAGGGGGACAAAATATGATTTTTGCAACTGACAAAATAATGTGTGTGTATTCTTGGATGCATTTTTTATCTAGTGCAGATGCTATCATCTTGGTGTGTAAGGGGCTAAGAATTTTGTGGGAATATTCGTGCCCAAACTGACTTTGGAAATAGTTTGTCAATGAAAAAGAAATGAAAAAGTAACTTACTATTTCTTGTCTGGGATAATCTGTCTTCCCTCCTTTCTCCCTTTCTTCCCTTTCTGTTCACCAGTATCTCCGCGGCGTCTCTCCGCAGCTTCAGGGGCCAGTTCCCCTGAAGCTGGTTGGGTGCTTTCCCTGTATTGATTTTGAGTTCTGGAAGCATTTTGCTTTCTTGGTCTTTCTGTTCAAAATATGTTGTTTGCCCTTTCGTGGCCTCGCTCTGAAATCTGGGGGTTTCTCGCCTCTTTTGCCTCGCCAGCTTTCTCATCACTGTTCCCCAGCTCGATCGTCCGCACCCGCCCAGCTTCTCAGAAAGATTTCCGTCCATTTTCGGTTTAGCTTCAGCCTTTGCGTCCATTTCCAGCCCCCCCGCCTTCTCCCGCCGTCTCGGGGCGCCGCCCCCAGGTCAGAGCT